GAGGTTTGAAGTCAGGGTTTCACATTTGCTAGGCAGGTGCTGTGCCACTTGAACCACAACCCAGTCCTTTTTGCTTCAGTTATTTTTCATTTTTGCCTTCTTTCCCTTCCCTCCCTCCCTCCCTCCCTTCCTGCTTCCCAAACTCCCTTTCTTTCTCCCTCCCTCCCTGTCTTTCTTCATACCTTTGAACTGGTCTAACACTTAAGATCTTGAATTGTGATCTTAATTGAATCTTAAGTTGTTCTCCCTCTCTGACCACACTCTCTGGCCTTTGCACCTCCTCCTGGCTCTCAGTGAGTGAGTGACTCAGCTTTTCATCACTACAAGAAATGCCCTAGGTAACAACTTCTGAAGAGATAAGGGTTGTCTTAGCTAGCCTTCTGCAAGTTTCAGTCCCTGATCAGTTGGCCCTGTTGCTTTGAGCCTGTGACAGCAGTGCAAAACTGCTCTCCTCATGACTGGGAAGTGAAAGAGACAGATGAGGAAAAGACCAGGGTCCCACTGTCCCCTTTGAGGACACGCCCAAATGATCTAAGACCTCCCACTAGGTCCCATATTGTCTTCAAGTTTTCACCACCTTGATAACCTACCTTTTTCAGGACAGGATTGAGTCTTCTCTGGGTTCCAGCCTATCAGCATCTTCTGGCTTTATTTAACTTGCCTTTCTACTCAGGATGATCCTTTGATCACCGTGCAGAGAAACTGTCACTCATGCAGTTACTTCTGCAACAGGGACTTTGCCAGACGTGGCTCATCTTGTGCTTTTCTATTCTTGTGCCTAGGAGGCCTGCCTTTCTTGGGCAACTACCCAAAACTCATCCAGTCGGTATACTGTCTTCTCTAGCAGTCATCACTATCAGTTAGCATCTGTTCTGGAACAAACCACTGCAAACTTAGTGGCTGAAAACAGTAACCATTTAACTCACACTTCTGAACATGGCACTTGTTCTGGTCTGGGTCAGGCGTGGCTCATCATGGCAGGCGCTCTCCATGCACTGTTTGTCCTTCCTACACCTGTTCGCTTGTCTTCCCGGCACTCAACCCAGGTTGGTCCACATGTGGTTAGATTTGGGCTCAGAGATAAGGAAGCACTGAGGCCCTGGGCTCCTGAACTTTTCCTGCTGTTTTCCTCAGACAGTCTTTTCTCATTTCTTGGTTTTCATATACATCGAAATTACTTCCATCTGAAATCGTAGAGCCAACTTAATTTTTCAAAACTTCTATTGAGGTACACATTCCATCTTTAGAATATTCCCACGAGCCCCATGCAGTCACTTCTCTGCTTTTGATGTCTAGGCAGACGTGCCTTTTCTGGACATTGCATGTGGGTGGCATCCTGTGTAGTCCTTTGCATCTGGCTTCTTCCATGTAGCCCAGTGTTTTGGGGTCATTCATGCTGAAAGGTGTGTTTCATTGCTGACAGTATTTTGTTTGATGAGTACACCATTTTTTTTTTTTTCATTTTTATCCCATCCTTTTAAATTTATTGCTCTGAATATATTGATATTTGTATAATATATTTTCACAGCAGTTTTTTTTTTGTTTTTTGTTTTTATTGTTTTATTATACATATGTGCATACAAGGCTTGGTTCATTTCTCCCCCCTGCCCCCACCCCCTCCCTTACCACCCACTCCTCCCCCTCCCTCTCCCACCCCCTCAATACCCAGCAGAAACTATTTTGCCCTTATCTCTAATTTTGTTGTAGAGAGAGTATAAGCAATAATAGGAAGGAACAAGGGTTTTTACTGGTTGAGATAAGAATAGCTATACAGGGAGTTGACTCACATTAATTTCCTGTGCGTGTGTGTTACCTTCTAGGTTAATTCTTTTTGATCTAACCTTTTCTCTAGTACCTGTTCCCCTTTTCCTATTGGCCTCAGTTGCTTTAAGGTATCTGCTTTAGTTTCTCTGTGTTAAGGGGAACAAATGCTGGCTAGTTTTTCAGGTGTCTTACCTATCCTCACCCCTCCCTTGTGTGCTCTCGCTTTTATCATGTGCTCAAAGTCCAATCCCATTGTTGTGTTTGCCCTTGATCTAATGTCCATATATGAGGGAGAACATACGATTTTTGGTCTTTTGGGCCAGGCTAACCTCACTCAGAATGATGTTCTCCAATTCCATCCATTTACCAGCGAATGATAACATTTCGTTCTTCATGGCTGCATAAAATTCCATTGTGTATAGATACCACATTTTCTTAATCCATTCGTCAGTAGTGGGGCATCTTGGCTGTTTCCATAACTTGGCTATTGTGAATAGTGCCGCAATAAACATGGGTGTGCAGGTGCCTCTGGAGTAACCTGGAGTACACCATTCTTTATCTAGTGACCAGTTGATGGACATAGGAATTTCCTCACAACTTTTACCTATTATAAATAATACCGCTATGAATATTTGCTTAAAATCTTTGTGTGGACATGTTTTCATTTCTATTGGGCAGATACCTAAGAGTGAAACTGTTACATTATATGACAAGTTTGTTTAAATTTTCAAGAAATTGTCAAACTTTTCTGCAGTGGCTGTAAAATTTAATATTCTACCAGAATTCCAGTTTCTCCAAATTTACACAGTATTTGTTATTTTCTGTCTTTTCTTTTGCAACCCAGTCTGGCCTTGAGCTCTCAATTCTCCTGTCTCAGCCTTCTGTATATTGGGATTATAGTCATGTGCTACACACCCAACTCGTTCCTTTATTGATGATAGCCACTCTAGTGAGTCTATCGGTATTCCTGTAGTTTTGATTTGCATTTCCCCAGTGATTGGACATTGAATATCTCTTCATGTGCTTATTAAACTGTTAATGTCCATCTTTCGTTCAAATATTTGCCCATTTTAAGTTGAGTTCTTTGTCTACTTACTGAATTGTGAGAGTGTTTTGTACATTCTGGGTACAGTCCTTCGATTTGCAAATGTTTTCCTATGGTCTGTGATTTTTGTTTCCGTTTACTTAATGATATTTCTTAAGGTAAAAAGTTTTAAATTTTTATTAAGTCCACTGTATCTTTTATTGCCCTTATAGATTATGCTTTTGGTATCATGTATAAGAACTCCTGCCTCCTGAAATTTCCTGTTACTTGTTTGGGTCTGCAAGTAGTCAGAGATCGACTTTGAGTTTTTATTTTATGAGTTTGTGAATTGCTGTCAAATATCTGGTAGTGTTCTTCAGTGAAGAGGCTGGGGCTGGTGTTTGCTCGAGTGTCAGTTCAGATCTGTACTTCTCCATGCCTTTCTGGGTTTGTTTTCCCTCTGGAGTCCCGTTGGTCATTCATGTCTCTCTAGGAATTCAGCCCTTCCATCTGAGTTCTCTAATTTGCTGACCTGCAGTTGTTCACAGCATCCCCCTCTGACCCCCCAGACTTCTGTGGGGCTGGTAGTGGTTTTGCACTCTCTTTCTGCTGTCTAGCCTGAACATTGGACTTCTGTTTTTCTGTCCTGTGTGACCCTGTTAGGTCTGTGCCAAGAGGCAGAGATGAAGATGGAAACAAAGCGCTAGGAATTTGCCCTGCTCCCTGGGGATGTAAAGGGAGTTTCGACTTCTGGAACCTGCTTCTGGTATTATTTAAGGGCTGGAGCTTGAGAGAACTAAGAGAAGAAAAGAGGGGAGACTGTGCACTTTCTGAGTCTTAAAAGTTCCTTTTCTTACTCACAAAGCAAGAATTAGGATACTTCTTGATCTCTCTCTCTCTCTCTCCTCTCTCTCTCTCTCTCTCTCTCCTCTCTCCTCTCTCTCTCCTCTCTCTCTCTCTCTCTCTCTCTCTCTCTCTCTCTCTCTCTTCTCTTCTCTTCTCTTCTCTTCTCTCCTTCAGATGGGGATGCTGGAGGTCAGAAGGGCAAACCCACCTAAGATCTGATGTCCTTTGAATCAAATCTTCATCCACCTGGTACTATTTACTTGTTGCTCAGTGCATCTGTCCAGTCATTCCACCTTATTGAACCGGGGCCTCATGCTTCTAGCAAATGCTCTACCACCTGAGCCCCACCCCAGGCCTTTTTCATTTGATGTTGAGACATGGTCTTGCTAAGTTGCCCAGCATGACTCCAACTTACTGTCCTTCTGCCTCCCTCTCCAGTAGCTGGGATTACACAACCACTACACCAGACCAATTGTTTTTCCCTTTTTATTTATTTAATCTGTTGGAAGCTCTTGTAGCATTTTGCCATCTTACAGGAGGGTGCTGGCAAGGATGTGTATTACTGCAGGTAACTCACAATCCTGAAATTTCATTTATTTTATCATTGGAAATTTTTTGAGGAATTAAACCTCAACACATTTCTTATTTGGAAAGGTTCTTTGTTCTGTCAGTCTCATTCTCTACACTACCTAGAGTTCCCTGAAATCTGAAAACCACACAGATTGAGCTTAAGGAACTACCTGCAGATCTCAGAGCTGGAAATGTTCAGCTCATCACGTTCCTGGTGAGCTCACAGAGAGAGTAGCCCTCTTATACAGAGCAGAGTAAGCAGTAGACCGCTAACAAGTCTTAAACAGCTGACTTAAGATAATAATATGCAATAATTTAAAATTGTTAACTAGGTAATGTCTTGTTACTCCCCACTCTGCCATGGACTGCCTGGAGGAGGCAGCGGGCAGTTGCACATGTTGCAGACTGATCTAGAATGTTGTTGCTCCTTTTTTGGAAGCAGCTCCTGTAGGACATCCAAGGTGAATCCCAAATATGTCCTCCAAATTTGGTAAAATAGTCCAGCTTTCTTTTTAAGTGATGTAATCACAAATATAAACTTAAAGACATTTAAGTGAAAATAACTAGGTCTCATTTCTACTACTCTGAAGTTGTCTGTGGGATCTTTGGGGGAATTCTGGAAGTCTTTTGGAAGCTATGGTCCTATTTCTAGAAAAATTCAGAGAGGTTTATAGGAATATACTTTTGCACACACTTTCAGGGGCCTCAGAACGCCCATCTGTGGATACCTAGGGCACAGAAAGGCCAAAGTTCTTATGGTAAGGTGATGAGACTATTGAGCTAAGGGTGGGATTCATGGGGGTGCTGGGGATTGAACCCAGGACCTGGTGCATGCTAGGCAAGTGCTCTACCACTGAGCTACACACCAGCCCTTGAATTGTTTAAAAAAGTCTCTACCAGGTAAAATTTTGTCTTGGGAAATGCCTTTGGTTGGGCAAGTTGAGCTTTTGTTTCTGCTGTGTTTAGGTCTGTGATGGTGTAGATTATGTTCTATTAATTACCTATGATATTTGGGTAAAGCATAATTGACAGAGTTGTCCACAAGCCAGGATCTGCACCTTAAAATTCCAGCCCAGGTCCTTTCCCAGCAGTGGGAGGAGGTATCTTCAAGGCTCATGGATTCCAAGTTTGTGTGTTTCAGTAATGAAGACAGGCATATTTAGGAAGGACCCTTGGGAGGTGTTCCTCTATGTCTTCTCCATGCAGTGATTGGACCACGTGGGGAGGGCGTGGTGTAGTGGAGTGGATCCTGACTTAGGTATTAAAAGAGCTGAGGTTAAGCTCTTAGCATACCTGTGTTAAGTCACTTAAGATTGCTGATGCTCAGTGTCTCTTTTGTTAAACTAGACACTGGTTTTTTTTTTTTTTTTTTTCATTTTTCTTTTATTATTCATATGTGCATACAAGGCTTGGTTCATTTCTCCCCCCTGCCCCCACCCCCTCCCTTACCACCCGCTCCGCCCCCTCCCGCTCCCCCCCCTCAATACCCAGCAGAAACTATTTTGCCCTTATCCTAGACACTGTTTCTATCTTTTTGCAGGCCTTGTTGATCACCAGTGAAATAACATATGCCATTTTTTTCTGTGTAAGTCTATCAAAGTCTCCACAGCATAGTAACTAAGACAAAGTGGAACCTTTGTTCATTCACACATGCATTCACTCATTTGTCAATTCCCGTAGTCTAACATGCACCGAGCATCTCAGCCTCCTGGTCTACCTTCCGCACCTGGCTAGAAATATGGTCCTTCTGTCTCTCCAGTGCTTTTCAGAATCTATTCATCTTGTATGCAAAAGAGAGAGATAAAAGGAAATTGAGTGATCTGAAATAAGAAATGAAATATGTGTAATGCTTAAGCTGGAAAAATGAGTGGTATATATATTAGTTTTTGAAGTGATAGTAAGTGGGAGCACTTCAGCCATGCAGCCTGAAACCCAGAAAGACAGAGAAAGGAAAGAAGAGAGGAGAGAGAAGAGAAGAGAAGAGAAGAGAAGAGAAAGAGAGAGAGAGAGAGAGAGAGAGAGAGAGAGAGAGAGAGATCGAGAAGTATCCTAATTCTTGCTTTGTGAGTAAGAAAAGGAACTTTTAAGACTCAGAAAGTGCACAGTCTCCCCTCTTTTCTTCTCTTAGTTCGCTCAAGCTCCAGCCCTTAAATAATACCAGAAGCAGGTTCCAGAAGTCGAAACTCCCTTTACATCCCCAGGGAGCAGGGCAAATTCCTAGCGCTTTGTTTCCATCTTCATCTCTGCCTCTTGGCACAGACCTAACAGGGTCACACAGGACAGAAAAACAGAAGTCCAATGTTCAGGCTAGACAGCAGAAAGAGAGTGCAAAACCACTACCAGCCCCACAGAAGTCTGGGGGGTCAGATGGGGATGCTGGAGGTCCGAAGGGCAAACCCACCTAAGATCTGATGTCCTTTGAATCAAATCTTCATCCACCTGGTACTATTTACTTGTTGTTCAATGCATCTGTCCAGTCATTCCACCTTATTGAACCAGGGCCTCATGCTTCTAGCAAATGCTCTACCACCTGAGCCCCACCCTAGCCATTTTTCATTTGATGCTGAGACATGGTCTTGTTAAGTTGTCCCATCCTGACCACATCCTCTCCTGGTTACAGGGGTATGATCAGAGCTTGCTCGGCAGGACTTGGAGGTCGTGGTGACTGGCACCTGAATAAAGGTGGGCTTCAGAATGAAGTCAGGCTTAGCTTTAGGAAATCAGATTCTCTGTGTGTCAGTTTTTAGTTTCTGAAATCTTTAAAGAAGAGAGTCTCCATTCTTTAATCTCTTCTCTGATACCTCCTTTCCCAGCGTGTTCTAGAATCCACATTTCTGAGTTAAATGCGAGGTGTATGGTTATTGTGTGATGTCGTGTTCCGTGTGTGACATGTAAGTACAAGGCATTTTCTCCATTGTCATTAGAAAGAAGTCTGTGTGGTGTTTGCCACAACTGCAGTCAGGGTGCTTGGAAGGCTGACTTCTCCCTCAGTCTGTACCAATGTGGCAGGAGAGAAGAAACAAAAGGCTGAATTTTAAGTAACATTCCTACTTGTGTAGACTCTCTTAAAATATTTATAACAACAAGCGATATGTCCAAATCTTGAGCTGTACCAGGTGGGAGATAAAATTGGCCCATGTTGGCTGGGTACCGCTACATTCTTTCTCTGGAAATCTCAAGAAAATAACTGACTCCAGCATGCCTTGAGCTGTTCTCTGAGAAACTATGGCAACAGGCTTTTAATTAAAGCTGAAGTAGTGTGTATAGCTTAGAAAAACAGAGATGCTGCCAGTTGA